TAATTGATGTACTAAAAAGGTATTTAGTTATATAAATTAAATTTATTACGGAGTATTAATTTATTTATTTATTTCTGTATTTATTTAGTTATTTATTTTTTAATATATTGATTTATATATTTATTTATTTACTTACTTATCTATTTATTTATTTAGTCATTTATTTATTTATTTTCCACCGTGATTTAATAATCATCTTTTAATAATAGGAGTAACAAATTATTTGAAAGGAAAAACAATTGAAGACTAAAGAAAAAAGCATAGAAAAGACCAAATGTTAGCCACCTAACTTTGTTAGGAGCAAAGAATCGTACAAGGAGTAGATAATATGATCCTAAACACTGCTCATAGCAACTTCTTCAAACTTGGATTTTCGGATGAAAAAGCTGTCTTAATAATCTGTTTTACCAAACATCTATTTTGGCTGGTCAATCAGTCAAACCAGCTAAATATGGTCAAACCAGCTAAAAAGTGGCTATAAGCCATTTACCAAACAGGGCCTATAAACTCATCACCAAGCTAAGTTAAACAGACTTCTTAGTGTTATGGAAGTTTGCTAATGCGTAAGTCTTACTCCGTATTATTTATGAGTAAGACTATGTTTTAAATTCCTTCCATTCAACATTGAGGTTACAGTATGAAAAATGAATGGAGCAAGCCTACTTACGAGTTAAGAACTACCGCCCCAACTCAAATCCTATTATGACGCCAAAGTTTGCTGGTAGGGGATTACATCCTCTGAAGACAAGAAGCGAGTCAACCAATTGAAGGAGGTAAACTTGCCCAAAAGTATGAGGACCCCTACATCGTCACCGCAGTCGTGAAAGCCGGCACCTACAAACTCAAACACCCAAATATATCAGAAGTGTCATGATTGTGGAATGTACATCATCTGGTCAAATTCTATCACTAACCTAAGACAGTGGTGACAGGCAAAGCCCCCACTTCTGAGGTAAGAAGCTTATTTACAAGCTAATTCCTTAAGGGTATTTGATAGACTTTTTTGATAGACTTTGACTCTCGACCTAGAGCCACTATCATTGATATAAAGTAATACTTCCTACACATCTCTAAAGATTGAAAAAGGAAAACACAACTAAGTAAATGACCACTAGCGTGGCGATTTTGCCAATTAACGAAGGGGAGAGAGGAGCGGCGAAGGGAAACCCTAGCCGCCGCCTCTTCCTTCCTTCTTCTCTTCTTTTCTTTTGACTTCAATCATGGAAAAAGTTTTGTTTAATCAGTATTTTCAATTCTATCTATACGTTTATTTCCTAGCGTTGTCTAGAGATGTTATTTTCGATGGCGAAGTGTCGCTCGCCAGATCTATATTCGCCGCCATCATTGGTCGGGTGTTCTTGTGTGCTAGTAAGAGGTTTGTATTGGCTTCTTTGTCAATCGTGAATCAGGATTTCTTCTGCATCGATATAGAGGTCTATCGCCCCCCTTCTGAACCACCGCCGATCCAAGAAGATGACATTGGATGGATTGCTTTCTTTCTGGTGGTTGGTCAAACCGGAACAATTTCTGCAATTGGCTTCTTACTGGTGGCTAGAAAAACAGGAAAGTTCAATAATTTCTTTTCGGTGGCTGGTCAAGCTGAACCCATTTCGAATAGCATGAGCAGACACATTGCGGTACGAGTCTACATTGTTGCAGGGTTAGCGAACACGAGTGCTTTTATAAGGCGTTTTTGTTCTTTGTCTCACCCTAGTGTAGTATTGAACGCTATGATTGTAATGCTTCGGCTTTTAGTTGTTATGTTTCTTATTAAGATCTGATTATCAATAAAATGGTTATTTGATTTTCAAAAAAAAAAACCAAGTAAATGACCCCCAGCCCCACCACGGTTACAATCCGAGAAAGCATGACCAATGATAACTTAACACCTGGGACCAGAGGTTTGCAAAATGGCTAAGGTTCCAAAGGACACACTTGTCGCGTCGTCCTCTCCAAAATGAAGGACGACAGACCCGCAAAATGGCCGAGACTCCGAATTCCTCCAAATACTTAAAACGATTCTGAGAGGTTTAGTGTGACATCCATAAAGTCTGACCCCAATGGCTTATGAGGTCGGGAACCATTAAGTGAGGCGAAATGCCATAAAAGAGGCAGCATAAACCCCCTCATCTGATCCTCGGACCCAAAGTTATGCAAATAGATCATTACCTTCTCGCTCCAAAGACTAAAGAGAAGTAAAAACAAAGTGTTGAGGACATGACACCTAGACAAAGGCTTTCCGACCATTTACATCAGTGGGTACTTTGGCCATTTAGAGAGGGTTTCTGCAAGGGAAGTCAAAAGGCATCACATCATTTCAGGGACTTGCGAGTGTCGACCTCTAGCTTGGAAATAAGGCATCCATCCTCTATGTGCTTTCCCATGTCACCACCGGGCTACTCAGCTTCCTCATCAACAACATCATCTTAATTCACCGAGTTAATGATGGGATCATGCCTCTCGGCCAATTGTTTCTTCATCTCTTTAGGTGGATCATTCATCACCGGAGGCAGACCATAGCTGGCAGGGAAGAAGTCCCTTATCTCTTCGGCATATCTACCAGTACATCGGTAGTTTCATGTGTTGCTCATCACTCTTGACATAAATGAGCAAACCATCATTGACCATGTATGTCTGCCCCTCGAGGGTGAACAACCACTTATCATGCCAAATCGAAATAAAAAAAGTGCACCCAGTCTTAAACCGAGGAAGGATCCCATCCGCCCCGGCTTTGGCCTTTCTCAGCAGCAGCCGCTTTGTTCTTTTCCTTACCTTTGGACATTATTGCCAAAACGATGGCACTCTTCTTTTAGGACTCTTCGGCAGTAGCCTTCACAGCCATTAGCTCTGACACCTCGACAAGTATCTTCTCCATGTCCACTTAGGCCCGCTCGTACACCTCACGGTCCTGGTCCACTTCCTCAAGGAAGAATTCTTGCAGTTGTCTTTCCCAACATACCTCTACAAAAATTAGATAAAGTGTAGTAGGAGAGAAAGTGGGTAAAGGCATAAATGTAACATTATAATAAAAACTTGCCAAAAAAAGTGTGAAATTTACTTTGGATCTACCCAAAATAAATTATAAATTTGAAATTGAAAAATAAAATAAAAATAAAAATGTACTTGTATCCAATTCTCCCTTTTATTATTTTTCTATCAAAATTTAATATTGTTGGTGTGAAATATTATTTCAAAACTATATATTAAAGATTTGTTTCAAAAATGTTTTAACATATGTGCTACAATGTAAAAAAATCATTCACTTTTTGTATTCTCTATGCTATAAAATTGCATATTTTGTATGATGATGAATACTTCAAGATTACAAAATAGTGAATTTAATCTTATTAATGTTAAACAAAATCAAAAAATGTTATTTAAAAAATGTAACAATGTATTTAAATCTAACATCTTTATTTTTTAATCTTTAATTTTTTATTTTTCAATTTCAAATATAAAATATATTTTAGATGTTTTTAAAAATTTATTTTATTTATTTAAACTCAATAAGAGTAAGTTTTCTCCCTTAGAGCAACATGAATAGTACTTTTGCACATTTTAAAAGGTCAATGATACATATACACTTCTACATAAACTTAGGAGTGGCCGCGGTCTGGAACGGTCCGATAAATTAGTAAAACCCGTAATGTATCTGTGAGGTTTCTAACGGTCCGGTACGGTTCAGTTCTAAGGATGGAACCATCGGTACCATGTTGTTTTGGAACGGTATAAAACGGTACAGTACAATGTCAAACACATGCTAAAAAAATTGGAAACATTTTGCAATTAGTAGATATCATCACACCAACCAATTCACATAAAATGTTACAAGAAATTGCTTACGTAGTACTACAATTCTACAATTCACAAATAATGCAACACAACTACAAAAAAGTATAGCAAAATGACGATAAACGAGATACATATCATCTTTAATTTGCAAAGTTCACTTGAAAATATAAAAATAAAAGGGAAAATGGAAAATAATAATCCAACCTTTTAGCGGTCTTCTTTCAATAATCCCACCTTTTGATTATTCATGAATAATCCAACCTTTGCACCTCATCTTCATTCACTGGTCCCTGACTGGTTGATGACCTGTTATTCCAAGCTATTTTCTTATCTTTGCAAATCATTATACCATAAATCTCATCTTTCACAAAGATAATATTTTGGAAAGATAAGAAAATAACTTGGAATAGTAGGTCATTAACTGACCAGGGACCAATGAATGAAGATGAGGTGCAAAGGTCGGATTATTCATGAATAATCAAAAGGTGGAATTATTGAAAAAAGACCGCTAAAAGGTTGGATTATTAGTTTCCATTTTCCCAAAATAAAATCATCAAATTAATGAATATAACAGAAAAAATCAATGTTCTTATTGTTCTAGGTTAAGTATTAGTTCTAATTAAATTAATAGTTGAACCGCGGGGGCTAAGATTTAAACAATATTAATTAAGTTGTAAAATTGCACAAACGTGATACAACAAAAAGTTGTATACACTACATTACTAGAAATGAATAGTTATTAATGATTTCTAAAACTTTAACATTCATTTAATACATACCAAAATATAATATAAATTATCTAAAACAAAAAATAACAATATATATATAAACACATTTAGCTATTTTAGGAACGCATGAATACATACTTGAGCAATAAAATTGTTGGTCTATAAAATAGATTTATTGGTATGGGGAAAATATAAAAAATTTCAATGCATTATTTTTGAACGGTCCGGTTCGGTATTTTTCGGTACTCAAATTCTAGGATCGGTCCCGTACCCGTTTCAAACGGTACGGTTTCGGTTTGGGATAAAAATTTATAGAACCTTTTGAATACCCGGTATTCGGTTCGGTACCATTACGGGCCGGTTCGGTACCGGTTCGGTTCGGGTTTTATGCTCACCCCTACATAAACTTAGGGTATATTTATTTTAAATAAATAGAATATGAATATATTTTACTCAAATACATTCTCCATGAATTTGTACATTTTCCTTTGAAGTAGTCAAGTACTAGTAAGTTTTACTTATTTTACATATGTTTGCATCGGAAGACTTATCCTTTTGACCATGGTAGTCCGCCTCTTTGACCGACGACGCCTCCACTCGACCCTCGAGAATTATCAGCACTGCCGTAGTTTTGCGAGCAAGTACAGCGGCAGGGTGGTTGCGGAAGCTGACAATGGCCGCTCATTCGCCATCGAAGTCGACTCCCCGACCTTCCAAATGGACGCTCGCGGCTATGTTCTTCCCCGCCGAGACATCATTTGCAAGGTCTCTCAGATTCTCCAGGCGCCTTCTTCTCCCTCGTCGGACCGCTTCCTTGACCTCTCAGAATATCTCGATACCTTGTCTCTAGCTTTAACTCCCTCGGAAGCCTCAGAAGTTTTCAAGTCTCTCAAATCTCCAGCCCTAGCTCTCAAGTTCTTCCAATTTTGCCCCGCGAAAATCCCTAGTTTCCGGCACGACGCCTTCACTTACAACCGCATCATTCTCATCATGTCCAAATCATCCCTCCCAACCCGCCTCGATCACATCCGAGAAATTGTGAGTGAAATGGAGCGGTCTCGTACACGCGGTAACATTTCCACCGTCAATCTTCTTGTAGGAGTTGTTGGGAGCTGCGAAGGGGAAGATGGTGGCGAGCTGAACCGGTGGTTAGATTTGGTCAAAAAATGGGAGTTGAGGTTTACTTGCTATACGTACAAGTGTCTTCTTCAAGCGTACCTGAGATTGAGTGACTCGAATAAGGCTTTTGGTGTTTATCGAGAAATAAGAACACACGGATACAAATTGGACATTTTCTCATACAATAAACTTATTGATGCTCTTGCCAAGGATGAAAAGGTCCGTTCTTTTGAGTTTTGACCTCTTCCCTAATCGCATAATTCACTTGGTTATGAAGTTAGTTTCATGCTTTCATCTTCTTTACTGACCTATTGAAACAAAGGTTTTAGATGTTAGTGCCAGAAGGGTTATGGCTGAAAAGTGTATTTGGGCATTTGTAGATGCAAACTGTCATTTTTTGTCTACATTTCTATTACCTCTTTTTTCTCTTTCCTTGAACAAAAAGAAAACCATTTGTCAATGTTCATTAATTGGTTGTATTAAGGACATTATCTATGGTACTGCAAAATATTGGAATAGGATTACCACTTGCTAGATGCATTTTTGTTCTTTCGGGACCCGAGTAGAATATTTATGGATTTTTTTTAATATACATTGTGAGCAATTTTATGTCTTGATTTATTGGGTCCGTGTGGTTAGTGATACTATGTAAAGTAAAAAAGAATTATACTCATGGATTCTGAAAGTTCTGATATGTTGTGTATTGCCAGGTAGAACAGGCAAACATGGTCTACAAGGACATGCAAAAGAGGCACTGCAAGCCTGATGTGTACACCTACACAATTCTGATTAGAATGAATGGGAAAACTGGGAAACCCAATGAATCCCTAGTTTTATTCCAAGAAATGCTTTCGAATGGCTGCTCTCCTAATCTTATTGCTTATAACACAATGATTCAATCACTCTCTAAGAGTCGCATGGTTGAGAAGACCCTTTTTCTTTTCTCAAAGATGATTGAAAACAATTGCAGACCAAACGAGCTTACATACAGTTTCATTTTACATGCTCTAGCAGCAGAAGGCCAGCTCCATAGACTTAATGAAGTTGTGGAAGTCTCCAAGAGATTTATGAATAAATCAACATACGCATACCTTGTCAGGACACTAAATAAATTGGGCCATTCCAGTGAAGCCCACAGACTTTTCTGCTCCATGTGGAATTTCCATGATAAGGGAGATAGAGATGCTTACCTGTCAATGCTTGAGAGTTTATGCACTTCTGGGAAGTTTATTGAAGCTATCGACCTGCTTTCTAAAATGCATGAAAAAGGTATAGGCACTGACACCTTCATGTACAATGTAATTTTCTCTGCTCTTGGAAAGTTAAAACAAATTCCACATATTCATGACCTTTATGAAAAGATGAAGCAGAGTGGGGTCCCACCAGACTTGTTTACTTATAACATTCTGATATCTAGCTTTGGTAGAGCAGGAAGAGTTGCAGAAGCTGTTGAAATATTCGAAGAGCTTGAAAGCAGTAACTGGAAACCTGACATTGTCTCTTACAACTCCTTGATAAACTGTCTTGGGAAAAATGGTGATGTGGATGAAGCACATATGAGGTTCATAGAGATGCAAGAAAAGGGTATGAATCCAGATGTGGTGACATATAGCACACTCATTGAATGTTTTGGAAAGACTGAGAAAGTTGAGATGGCCTGTCAGATGTTCGATGCAATGCTGGGTGAAGGATGTTTTCCAAACATAATCACTTATAATATCTTGCTTGACTGTCTTGAGAGATGTGGGAGAACTGTTGAGGCGATCGATTTGTTTGCTAAACTTAAAGAACAGGGTTTGGTGCCTGATTCAATTACTTATTCAATTCTAGATCGGTTGCGGAGTGGCGGGAAACAGACGGGTAGGGTTCGTAGGCAGAATCCAGTAACGGGTTGGGTTGTTAGTCCATTGAGGTGATGAAAATTGTTTTTTCATTGGAGGGATTTTTCCTTCACTGTGACATTTTCATCAGTGATTCATGTGGACTGTCCTTGGGGTCGCATGTAACGGTGGTGGGCACACCAAGGTGGACTCATTCCAAAAAGGATTCTAGAAATGCGGCTGGGGAGGAGACAGGGATGGTTTCACAGTTCATAATGGAGTTACAAGGGTTGAAGACGGTGGATGGGGAGGACCCACCAAGGATACTTCATCTTAACCCGCGTTTGAAAGGGGATTGGAGTGGAAGGCCAGTGATTGAGCAGAACACGTGTTACTGGATGCAATGGGGAGCTGCAATGAGGTGTGATGGATTAATATCCAAGGCTGATGAAGAGACTGGTGAGTGTTTTTTCGTCATTTTTTTTTGTAAGATATAGTGACTAATTTTGGTCTGAAACCTGCTTTTTCTTCTTCTTCTTTTTGTACTTCAGTTTTAATGTTGAATATTTTATTTTCTGGATTTCATTCTAAGCATGTGTTAATATTGGTAAAGTTTCATTTCATTTGAATATAGAAAGAATTCATGGTTAAATTACTCTGAAGTGTTTGTAGCAATTTGATGAATATAGTGATTACAGTCTTTTTAGGTGTCATACCTTGAAATATAACAATAAATCTCTTTCAACATCAACATCAACATGATCTGCCTAATGAGTCTAAGCATCAATTGACCAGTTCACTAAATGAGTTAACTATTACTCCGTATAAATTAATACTTCTCCTGAACAATTTAGGTGGAAAATTTTATTTTCTTTTGAAGCAATCTATATAAAAGGAATAGTGTAGTGCCATTTTGAGCGGGAATTGTGAGAGCTCATTGCCTTCGCCGACTAAAACAATTAATGCCTAGATCGATTAAAACAATAGCTTTTCAGTTTTTAAGGCAAAGGATGTCATCCCACTGTTGCTCCAGCAGTAGTAATTAAATACTCCATCATAGTAGAGCAAAGCTGTTCATCTTCCCATGCTTCGGCTTCTCAAGAATCATTAAATTAGCTCCAGATGCATGGCCTATATAATCATCAAAGCTTGCAAAAGCGGTAGATCCATGGTGGCATGGTACTTAATTTATCACGCATGTTTGAGTCACTGATTTGTGAGGGCGGCGGAAGGTTTTGATCATAGATGTGATAGGTAGGGTGGCGGAGTGCTAAGGTCACAAATATGCAAGGGAGCATGGAGGACGGTTTCAGTCACATATGGCCGGGTTTGTCAGGGTGGCGGAGGGTGTCGGTTACCACTGGGATTTGGGAGACAGTTGACGCCTTTAGTGGTCATATATGGGTTCAGAACGTTAACGGCCAACAGACGTTTTGGTCATGGATGTCGTTAGGAGAGCTGAGCGAGAAAGGTAAAGAGTTATCTTCCCCAACTAGCAAGCCTATGGTTTATTTCTTTCTTATGTGGTTTCGATTTTATTCTGGAATGAAGGAACCTGGCTAAATGGGTTGTGCTCAAATATAACTTTTTATTTTTTATATTCTGCTTGGAATTTCATTGTGTTCAAGCTTTTTATGTGTGTGTATATGTATATATACTTATATATGTCATACATACTTCTATTAGACTAACTCAAAGATGCATATGAGTATTAAGTTTTTGAATCATTAGAGTTGTTTATTTGTAATATACTATCGGTATTAACATATATGGTCCTTTGTTTGCATTTGTTTCGGTATGAGTATGACAACTAGCGATTTATTCATTATCCTCATATGGTCACGAATATGACATGGATCAGAATCACTTGACGTTAATGATGGAGCTTCTCGAGTTGGTGTCGTGAAAGATGCCCCATATAATAGAAACTCTATGGAGCTGAGAGAATTGAGAGGGAATCGATGTGGAAACTACATAACAAGCCAAGGTGGAATACATGCCCATTAATGAATTAATCCAAAGTCAGCTGCAGGGGGACTTCTTCTCAATCTATGGTTTGGTGATTCTTTTAATGAGTTGTTATGATCGGTTTATTTCATTATGAACCTTTTGGGGGATAAGCTTGTGAACAGATAGTTAGGATTGTATTTAGAATTGTTATAACATGTTGATGTGAGATTCAAGGATTTGTGTCTACAAATCAAGCAATGCCTGGTGGGGAAGATGAGTCAATTGGCAGTTTATTTTTTTTATATGAAGTACTTTTTTTTCAAGTGTCAAACCTCTAAATATTATTTTGGAACTACCAAGCTACCATGCCAAAACTCTATATGCTGATTAGACCATATGTGCAAAAAGACTTGCTAGCATTCCCTCACATTTCTCTCATTATGCCGAGGAAAGCCTACCACTATGAAAAACACCTGTTTGACGAAACTACCCTAAACCCATATCACAAATACAATAAGTTGCTCACTCCCATTTGAACCTATGAAACTCAGAATTTGCTGCTGAAATATGGTGATACGTCACTTTGAGGCAGGTGCAGTTGACTGGATTTGAACAGCAGGTTCCATGGCCTTTTCACAAGGCAGCCTGCTCCTTCCTAACCACACAGCCTACTTGGTTCTGAAGAAGGAAACCATACTCGGTATTTAAAGTCAACTGCCCTTTAATTTAATAAATCAATGTATTTGAAAATTGTAATATTGTGTTTGTATTTAGAAATCTTTTAAGTGGTTACCTTGATGGTCGCAAGGGTGACTACATGATCTTGCCAATGGCTCATCGGTCTATGGAAAGTTAACTCGATGGATCTTCCTGATGAGAGTCGTCATGGATGTGCCGAGTGCTGGTGAAAAGATGCAAGTACTTGGTAGAGAGGTGATGTGCGGTGATATGTGTTAATATTTGCATGCTCCAAGAATGGACATAAATGTATGGGTGCCACGGGTTTGTTATGGAGCCAAAGTTTAGTGACTACAACTTTTAGTTCAAGTTTGGGATCTTGCCTCCTGAAGTAGAGGATGATGAAGAGTTGAAACAGACTTATCTGGAGCCAGCCCGGCTCTAGGATAACACAATTACATCATTTACACATATGTTAAGCCACATATATCACATATTGGTGTAACTGTGTAAGCATATTAATATGCATATGAATTTAATTAAACATCCACTATAAATAGAAATGGTATGGTTTTATTTAGTGTTATAGTTCAACTTTCTTCCCCTTTCCTGGGTTTGAAATCATCTTTTAATTTTGGCTAAAAGGTCTAAATAATTGCTACGTAGCAATTAGTGCAGTAACTATGGTAGTTTGAGGTTGTTTATCTTCTCCATAAAATTATTTAAAATAAACATTGAAAATAGAATAAATGAGCTGCCAAATATTTAGGGCTTTTGAAGTTTCCTAAACAGCTATCCGAATACATATTGCATATATGAATTATGTACAAAACTGCTTTTAAAACGGAGTACTGCATGTTTTAATACACATACGAATTTTGGTCATATGACTCTTATTAAATTGCATGAATACTTTATCTTTATCTAATGTCGAATTGCTCTTGCGAAAATATATGTAGTCATGATGAATTTATGGTGTTATGTGATGAGTTACATACTTACATATCCTATTACAACGGAGTATTACATATCAAAACGATGTCACAACAACATTTAAGCCTGGGCTCGATAGAATTTAGGATTGATTGACATGAATCAAGATATGCAATCAGAGCAAAAAGATAAAGAGTTCAAATAAATAAATATATAAAAAAAATTAAAGATCATACAAAGGATAAAAATTTAAGAGAAGATATATATAAAAATGGATAAAACGTTAAGATAAAAAAATAAAGAATATGACAATGATAAAAAAAATCAAAATATGTACAAAACTTATTTGTTTTGTCTTTGTTATGTATCCTTACATACCCATTTATTTTTATCCTTTCTATCAAATTTTCCATTACTTTAATACTTATATTTTCTAAAATAATACATTGTAATATATTAGAATGACCGCCTGTGCATCGCACGGGTACTATACTAGTTTAGATTAAAACACTTATGTGGGGCCTCACTATTTGAGTGCTAGTCTGCCTATGGTTGTGAATTTTACACCAAGATTTTAGTTTAATTTTTCCCCATCATTTGCAATCGAACCAAACACTCGCTATTTTTTGGCTTGAGACTATGATAAAATAAAGCAAAATGACTTACTAAATTTTTTGCGCTTCTTTGTTATGAAGAATCAGTCAGACCATACAATTTTGGATGCGATTTTCACTATGAGTCATCCGAAAACAGTCTCTCTGTGCTATAGTACAGGGGTAAGACTGCGTACATCTGACCCCGTTACCCCACCGTAAGTGGGAGTCTTTGCGGCACTGGGGTGATGATGATGATGCTTTCAGTTTTGATTTTAGGGGCTCTAAGGTGAATATCATCCCGCTATTGATGTATGTGTTTTTTTGTTATTATATACTGACCTATTCTGGAAGGTTCTAATGCAATTGTAAATCATAAACCAATAAATAAGCTTAAATTTAGGGAAGCTAAAAGAATCATTCTTGCCTTGTTGTGGGTGATTTTATTATTACACTAATGGTGAACTTCAATTTTCACCATCTTAAAGTTTCACAATCACTCTATTAGAACGCCGGCCAGTACTTGATTTTATTTTTTGGCAAGCACATTTGTAACTTGGTGCTTTTCTGCTTATTTCAATAAAACCATTTGTTTATGATTTCTAGACCATATAAAGTTGATGGGCAGATTGAACGTGAGAGGTGGATTTGCGATGATGATAATCGCTCTGAGGAATCAAAGGCCACATGGTGGATAAATAGACCGATTGGCAAGACAAAGAGGAAGATTTCAATTGGATACTACGTATTATATTTGCTAGTGTATTTGTGCAAAATTCAATTTTTGGTGTATAAGTTGTTTTGTATACCACTACGGTACTATATAATATACGGAGTACTACGTATATAACTAGCTGATATCCACTTTCAACGTGATGTGGTGTGGCTTAAGTCTTGCCAGATAAACATATACCGTAGTACTTCGTATTACATATTTAATGATGACTCATAGTATAATAAGAAAACCCGTTATTGATACATTTCCTCATGATATGCTACAATGTTCAACATTTATATGATCATTTTCTCATTTTTGACATAGAGTAGTGAGGCCTTTTGATTCATTGGAACACTAGTTATTTTAGATTGAAATTGTGAGACAGTATTTTATTAGAAAATCAATGACTAATGCAAGTATATACTTAGAGACCTAGTTAGTTAAATACGGTACGGGAATTAAACGAGGTTTAATACGTATGCGTGTATAATACGTTATCTACTACAAATATTCGGACGAAAAATATGGGTATTATTTTGAACATCTAAATGATATATTTCATAAAATAACATATATAGTAAAAAAGAAATAAAAGTATACACATATTCAAGTAGCAAATCTCATTACTACATACAAGAATAGTTCATAATTGAATAAGTCGATGACAAAAATAAAAACAGTAATCAAGTCTAGGACATAATTTTGAAAAATAATGTCAAAAAATCATTATCTTTATATGATTATCAAATAATAATACTCAAGTTAAACTCATCATTTTCATTAAGATGACATATGACAAAAGTTGTGTGATTGCTACACTTATTATTGTTTGTGTAAAAGCTTATGCTAAAAAAACATTAGGTTTAGAAAAATCTTAATTTTGATATGCTAGCTTAAAAAAACATCATAAATCTTGTAGTATATTACTACGTAAGTTTTAGTATTTCATGATGCTAGCTTTAGCCACCATGCAATTAATTTTAGTATTTAATAATTGCATTGTAACCAGGGGCGGAGCCAGAATTCTATTGAGAGGGGGGCCGAGGTGAAATAAAAAAACTCGGTAATAACATATAAATACAATAAATATTACGTAATGTATTGATATTCATTTAAAACATAAAAAAAATACATGATTAGATCCATTGTGAATTAAAATTTAGAATGCCGCTCTTACATGTCACGGAAATATGTACTCCCTCCGTCCCATTTATATTGTCCCGGAAGAGGGTGGCACGGTTATTAAGAAAAGTGAGTTTGTGTGGTTGATATTAATTGATAAAGTAAGAATAAAGTAAGAATGATTTAGAGCCACACAAACTTTGCCAAATATGGTATGGGACAATATAAGTGGGATTTCCCGAAAAGGTAAAACGGGACAAAATAAATGGGACGGAGGGAGTATACTCTAAATAAGTTTGTATAATATTTCATTTAATATTTAAATGATAAAATAAAGGGGAATTTTGAGTTTGCACCCCACTTTTTGACTGATATTGGACTTTGCACCCTATTTTCAAATCTCTTAGACTTTGCACCCTATCTACAACATTTTGTGAAGAAAATTTCCTCAATGGGGTGCAAAGGCAATGACATTTTAGAGGAAATGGGGTGCAAAGTCTAAGAGTTTTGAAAATGGGGTGCAAAGTCCAATATCACCTAAAAAGAGTTTTAAAATAAATACTAAAGAGCCCCAAAATGAATATTTCGGAGAATATTAGATTAACTTAAACTCTTTATTTCATATATCAACTGAGACAATATGTACTAACACCTTCTTAAATAATTAAGAATTCCTTAAAATATTAAACATTACTACGTATTTCTTTTGGTAAGTATTCACTAATTCTCGAACAAATTATTAAGTAATAAAAAAAATCCTATTTTTTAATAGTAAGAAAACAAGAACCACATATCTAAGAAATAATAAAATTTCAATTAGTATGCTAGTCGGTAAGTACTCAATAGTGAAATTACTTTTCACTACTTACGGACTAGGCAGTGCTTGAAAAGAATAACAGGTTGAGGGGAGGGGGGCAAAATTAAAATCCTAATACTAGTAGTTAAAAAATGAAAAGTTGGGAGAGGCCATGGCCCCCTTTGCCATGGCTGTTGCTCCGTCCCTGACTGTAACAATACAAAAACACAAGATCATAGGGTGGACGTTTTCATTTTTACTTTTACACTATTGTTGATCTTCTATGCATTTAGTGCATTCATTCAATTGGTCAATTCATGTTTGTGTTTTTTTGTAAAATACGGGAAAAATACGTTTTATACGGGAAGTAGGAGTTTTTTTCCTTTTTAAACGGACCGACATTTCCCCCCTTTTCAAACGTGTTTTTTTGGTCAAAAAAATTGTACGTGTTTAAAACGCGTTTAAAACGGAAAACAACTAGCTAGGCTTAGAGAGTTAGAGCCCATTTGGTAACCATGTTTTTCTTGTAAAACATGTATATCTAACCGCATCGCTTTACTTGCTACTAAGAGAAAAATATAAAAAACTAGAGTTCAAGAGCTGGAAAGGAATACATAAATCACAAATCGTGGTTTTATCAGTCATCAGCAAGGGGAAAGAGGTTTGAACTGCCACTTCCAAAAATATCATTCCGATTTAACCAACCATCGGGAAGGGAGAAGAGGTTTGTCCAGCCCCCAATTAAGAAATAAAAGAATCATGAATTCTAGTTTTTCCAGCCACTGGGAAGGTAATTGTGATTTGACCAGCCAGTCAGCCACCGTTACAAGAAAAGTGTCAACCGCCTCCTCTTCACCACACGTAAGTTTTTTCCTCTTGCCTGACCATCGAGCTATTCTTATATCCAAGGGTTTCTTTAAATACGACAGGCAGTGCCATCCCACTGGCATCGCCACCTGTCCGTTTATTTGATCCTTCTCATATACCTCCATGCTTGCTTGAGTTTCATCTCTACTTCTCGGCTCTATCTCTTTGCGCTTCTCAGGCTCTTCCTCTTGGGAACCAGTTATGTTGTTACCTCTGAAAGCAATCCATCAACTGTAGAACTACATGTCGCTTTTTCATAACATTCTTAATCTTTTCCTTCCATGAACTGATTCCACTTCCACTACGGATCAACAACTTATTACCCAGATGCACTCCTCCTTTTCTCATATCTGCACGCATTCAAGCCTCATATGGCTTCTCTCTAATCCAAGATCCAGATTGAGGCTTAGACGGACAAAGACGATCAACATGTCCCACGATTCCACAGATGAAGCAGAACTGTGAAAGACACTCATACTTGAACTCTCCTAGAACCAATTCCCCCCTCCTTTCTTATTTGTAGTTTGCGAATTAAAGCTTTCTTGATATTT